GGCGCCAAGCCATTTTTGTTTTCTCTCTTCAGTTTCGCCGTGAAGAAGACGCAGAAAAGGCTGTGATTGACTTGAATAACCGTTGGTTTAACGGACAGCCGATCCATGCTGAGCTCTCGCCCGTGACTGACTTCAGAGAAGCCTGCTGCCGCCAGTATGAGATGGGGTGAGTGGGGCAGACTGACACAGCCGCCTCCATGGCGACTGAGCACAGCCCGGGGTTGTGTGTGCACGAGGTAATATGCTGTTTCTGACCCACAGAGAGTGTACACGAGGCGGCTTCTGTAACTTCATGCATTTGAAGCCCATTTCCAGAGAACTGCGGCGTGAGCTATATGGGCGCCGGCGCAAGAAGTGAGTATTCCCATGTGGCCATTGTAATGCTTGATGGCTTTTTTGCCCTTAAGAAATCAAAAAATGGCGTAGGTGTCATTTCTGTTTAAAAAGTGCTGCTTAGAACTTAGTACATATTTTAAAATATAAAAGTGTACACTTTGGATAAAAATATTTTCCTGCACACAAAGAACAGTTTCATCATCTGCTTCTCCAGTAGAGCTCAAACCTTGGTACTTAAGCAAGGCAGTGGTTAAATGGTAACCACTGAAATGAAGTTGGTGAAGAATTGAGTGTGTGGTAGTTTATTCTCCCAGATAGATACTGTAACTTCCTTTAAATACTGCATGTGCCCATTGGGGTTTCTGTTGATTTGGGAACGGATTAGTGGTGCCTTCCCTTCCAAACACTGGCAGTACGGCCGGGCGAGGTGGGTCACGCCCGTAATCCTAGCACTCTGGGAGGCCGAGGCGGGTGGCAGGATCGCTTGAGCTCAGGAGTTTGAGAGCGGCCTGAGCAAGACCCCGTCTCTACAAAAAAATAGAAAAATTGGCGGTGTGTAGTGGCATGTGTCTGTAGTCCCAGCTACTCAGGAGGCTAAGGCAGGAGGATCGCTTGAGCCCAAGGGTTGAGGTTGCAGTGAGCTGTGATGATGCCACCAAACTCTAGCCAGGGTGAGAGAGCAAGACTGTGTCAAAAAAACCAACACTGGCAGAATTGGGCACAGTCATGTGTGTCTGGTCTGGCATTTAAATGCTCAACCATCATGTCACAGAGCAGAGAAGATCACGATGTTGGAGTATGGGTTGTGCTTCCTAATTAGATTGAGTTCTGATCCTAGAGGGGTTCTCATCCCTCTCCCATTAAACAGACATTATTGGTGATTCTGTCTTATTGTCAACAAAAAGATACAGAAGAAAACCCTGCTTTCCCCATCCCAAAAATGGGCCTAGTGGACACTGTAGCTAATGAGCACCCGTGGGGAGGGCTTGGGTGGCAGGGCACCTGGCGTCTGTCAGGTGAGGGTTGAGGGTAATGTCTGTCCAGTTCATGTTTTGTCAGGATTCCCCATGATCACGTGAGTTGGTTTAGAAGACGTAGAGGATGGAAGATGTCATACATATTCAATTATAAAATGTATAATTTTTTTCCTGAAACTTTAGTATCTGAAATTACAGTTATGGCTTGCAATTTAGTTGGCAGCATTTTGTTCTTCATTAGTGCCATCAGTTTGATGAGGTTTTGTGGTTTACAGTGTTGGTAATTGTGGTTTTATTTTGTACTGATGCTACAATTTCCTTGTTTTCCTTGGTTGCAGGCATAGATCGAGGTCCCGGTCCCGGGAGCGTCGTTCTCGGTCTAGAGACCGTGGTCGTGGTGGTGGTGGTGGCGGCGGCGGTGGTGGCGGTGGGGGACGGGAGCGGGACAGGAGGCGATCTCGAGACCGTGAAAGATCTGGGCGATTCTGAGCCGAGCCATTTTTACCTTATGTCTGCTAGAAAGTGTTGTAGTTGATTGACCAAACCAGTTCATAATGGGAATTTTTTTTAAAAAACAACAAAAAAAAAACCACAAAGATGGGTTTCTGAATAAAATTTGTAGTGATACAGTATTCTTGGTGTGACTTATTTCTTGTGGAGATTTCTTTATTTTGAATTTCTTTTCCTTTATAAACCTGCCAGTTATCAGTCCTCAAGGTAAAGATTAATATCCATCTGTGACTTTGAGTATAATGAAATGCTATTGTTTAAACTTGCAGTATGAAATTAAAACACCAGGTAAAGGAAAATTCATATGGGAAAAAGATCTCTTTCTTGTTTTCTACATATTACTGAGGAATTGCTGTTGGAGTCTCTTTCCTTACTAGTTAATAAATAAGTGCTTAGGTGTAACTCCTTTTAATATACAATGTTTCTTACCTGTGAGTTTTCTAGTTTCCCTTCAAGAGCTACGGTGCATCCTGAAACACGAGTGGTAAGTCACACGCAGACGTGCTCAGCGCGGCAGGTTCAGAGCCAGCGTGCTCTTTTCGGGTTGCATCGCTGACGGCCGGCCCCCTAAACCACGCTCGATGGCACACGAGGAGCCCCGCAGTCAGATCTGCCTTTCTTTAAACCTTTCTGTCTGCTGTTGCTTCCCCATAGCTACTTCTGTTAATGACTTGGGTGGTCTGTGTGCTGGTGGCATAATGCATGACAGCCAGCTGTTGACTTTTCGGTGTATGTCCCACGCCTCCGTGCTGGGGGCCGCGTGTTTCATATCCAGAACCAACATGGTTCCAAGTGACGATATGAAGTCATTACTGGGTGCTCATGTGTCTCATCCTGACGAACCTCCAAGCTCTGGGTGAGAACCGTGGTTTTCTACTGCCCTGCCCTAGTGCACAGGCGCTGCTGCCCCCTGCTCGGAGTGGGAGCTCCGTGAGTGTTGGAAATGCTGTTGTCGGTCCAGGAGAAACAGCTCTTTGCCGTAACTGCACACTTAACGTCTGGAAGGAAATGCTGCTTGGCCACTATGTTTCATGAAAGTTTTTATGTGACTCTGTGGACTCAACGTTGGTTTTGTTCAGGTTTGGGCTGCTAAAATTAAGTTGGTTTTTTATGATGGTGGGTAGATAATTTTGGATGGAAGTGGCAGTTTTTAGTGAGGTAGGTAGTTTCCTTAAAATCTTGAACTCACTGTACCTTCAAAAGTCAGTACAAATACTTCATTTCTTCTACCTTTAGTTTGGTCACAATTGTGGCCATTTATTGTGGCCACTCAGTCTGAAGGAGGGAAGGTGGCAAAAATTGCACTTTGTATTTAACATTGATTAGAATCGGCTTTTCCTCTGAAAGTCTTTAAAATGTGAACAGAAGTGCCATAAAAATGTCTTCAAAGTTTGCAGTGAGATGAGCTTACAAAGTAAAGCTTTCCTGCCCTCCGCCCTCGGTGCCCCCGTGCAGGTCTGAAGCAGGAAGTTGAGGCAGGCTTGTCCCAGAGGTGTCCCCTGTCTAGGTGTGCTTGGATCGCAGCTGGTGAACAGCCCAGTGAAATAGCCCTGGAGTCTGCCAATGGCAAAGGAACAGCTTTTACGTAGGTCCTAGGTCCAAGCGGATTTTTGTAACAAGGAAGAATACAAAACCCGCTTGACATAATTTTGTAATGAATTCAGGCTCAAATACCATTGTAAATTGGTTTTCTCCTGAATACTACGTGATGTATGTGAAGATGTAACACCAAATGATGAGCAGCTGCAGAAATAAACGAGTATCGGCACGTTTAATTCAACAGTTGTGTTGAATTATCTCAACTTTTTGCTACTTTGCAGCTTTTTTTTTTTTTGCTTGTTTGGTCAGTAGGCCTGTGTTCACTGTACATGTGTATGTAGTAGATAATCATTTTAAATACTTCTATTAAAACGTTGATTGATGGGGTTGCCGTTGCCCTGCTAATTGGGGGAAATTCACTACCTTGAACTGCAAGTGGGGAAGGGATTGGCCATCAGAAGTGGTGGCTCACGACCGTAATCCTAGCAGTCTGGGAGGCTGCGGTGGGAGGATTGCTTGAGGTCAGGAGTTCGAGACCAGCCTTAGCAAGAGTGGGACCCCATCTCTACTAAAAATAGAAAAATTAGCCAGCCCTGGTGATGCCTATAGTCCCAGCTACTCAGGAGGCTGAGCCAGGAGGATCGCTTGAGCCCAGGACTTTGAGGTTGCAGTGAACTACGATGACGCCATTGTACTCTACCTGGGGCGACACAGCGAGACTGTCAAAAAAAAAAAAGTCTCAAAGCATAGAAATCAGAATGGTATTAGAAACTCTTCTAGGTCCTTTGTAATGGAAAGTAGCACTTTGGGTCTTGCACTAAAATGTCACATTGGACTTGATTGTCTAGCTAGTCTGGAGGCCGAGGTGGGAGGATCGCTTGAGCCCAGGAGTGCAAGACCAGCCTGGGCAACATAGCGAGACCTCATGGAAGAATAAAGAGGTAAAAAGGACTTGATTGCATCTGGCCCCAAGAAAGCTTCCCTTTGTTTAGTCTGGTAATTCCCAGATAGATTTCACAATCTATGTAAGTTTCCCCAAAGAAACGTGATTAATATGATTTTCCAATTTTTAATTTGCCAAGTGGGACTTTTTAACTCGTTCTCATCAAATGTCACCATCATTTCCTGAAACAGCATTGTACTTCTTTCCTGTCAGCCAGCATGAAGATCCTGGTGTTGCCATAGGCCGCCACCCCACCCGTGTCACCCGTATTAGGAACAAGCCGTCCCCAGTCTCACTTCTGCCAGGGCTTTTGATGCCAAGATTCACATCTCTGACCTGGGGTGGAAGAAGGCAAAAGTGGGTGAGTTCCCACTCTGTGGCCGCGTGGTGTCAGGGGAACGTCGGCCGCTCTCTGAAGCCTTGGATCTGCCCCGCCTGTGTCAACGAGCACATGGTACAAAGTGGCAAAGAGGCTTTCAAGTCCAGGTGCGGCTGCAGCCCTGCGGGGCGCCCACACCACCCAACTCCAGACAGGTCTGTGCAGTGCCTCTGGCAAGCCCCGGACACCGTGGCCAGGGCTCACACTGGCGAAGTCTCCCGTCCATCTGCACCAAGCTGCGGAACAAGCTTGTGACTGGGGCCCCGTGCCGGCCAAGTTCAGGTGCCCTGGCCGCCGGAAGATGCACCGCTCAAGGAAGTGGGGCTTTACCAAGTTTAACGCGGATGGATTTGGAGGCATGGTGGCTGAGAAGCGGCTCATCCCAGATGGCTGTGAGGGCACACGCAGCCCCAATCATGGTCCCCTGGACAAGGGGCGGGCCTGTGCTGGTGAGGGTTTGCACTCTGTTGCTCCTCCTCACGCCCAATACATCCTGCTTCCTGTCCACAAAGAACAGCACTTTAATTTTTCATTGGGAAATACTTAAACATACATAAAAGTAGAGAATGTTGCAATGAAGCCCTGACGCTTTGGCCCTGCACACCAAAGTCTGCATCCCTACCATGAGGACGCGCTTGGAGGGAAGGACAGCCTCGAGTAAGTCCAGCCTTAGGGCCAGCTGCCTGCGGCGCCACCTCCTCATATGTCCTTGGCTCTGGGGGTTTAGCAGCCACAGCAGGCTGGCACCAGTATGTGCCTGCCACATGCCAGCACCTGGCCGTTCCCGCTGGCACCGCAGGGCGGAGTGAGAGGGGCCGCTGCCTCCAGAAGTGGGGCTCCCTTAGTTCAGACCAGCACCGTGGGAGGGACCTTGGGAGACTCTGGAAGTAGCAAAACTGGATGGTGGCCGTGGGGGCGTAAAGTTTGGATTCAGTCAAAAGGCCGAACTCAAGGATCTAGAAGGCCACATGTGGCCCCCCAAAAAGCTGCAAGTGATAGACAATCTCAGAACTACTTTCAACAGCAAGACGTGTTGGCACCTATACATAGAAGAGCCCGGTGGCATCATGACCACCTGACCCCACCTGGCTCGGTGGCTTGCTCTGCTGAGCTCTGGGCTCTGCCCTCAGTGGGATTTCACATCACATGGGGCCAACAGCAAGGTATCGGTGGCAGGCCACCACCACGAAGAGCAAATGCGCGTGCCCAGCGTCTTGTGTCTCACTGGCAAGTTGGCACTACTTACTTTTCTGATCAGAAAAAAAGGACAACTTGCAAGTTTTTCCCCTGAAATGTGTGTGATACTGATAAAACCTCACCAAAATGGCCCACAAAACCACAAGGGAGTTCCAATTCCGAATATGGATGCAAAAACCCTACGTCCAATATTGGCAAACAGAATCTAGCAGCATACTAAAGTAACTATGTCACTAGTAGGTGGGACTTGTTTTAAGAATTCAGGGATGAATTAGATCAAATATTCAATCTGTTCTAAGTTTTCTTAGGAGACTCCTAATTATGCTTGTGTTGTGTCTCTTAGCTGGCTTCCACGTTTGTGGTATTTTCAAGGAGATGCATGATGCGTACAGACGCAAAGTACCCAAAACCTAAGTCTGGTTTAAGGACACTTACACAGTGATCATCTGGTAAGGCCATCCCAAGGCAAGAAGTAGCACGTTGCCAGCATCTCAGGTGAGAAAAATTAGCTGGGCGTCTTGGCACAAACTTGTAGTCCCAGCTACTCAGGAGGCTGAGGTCGGAGAATCACTTGAGCCCAGAGTTGGAGGCTGCAGTGAGCTGTGATGATGCCGCTGCACTCCAGCCGGGTGACAGAGGGAGACCCTGTCTTTAAATAAATGGAATCATGTATTATTTTGTTTGGCTCAGCTTGTCTGCAACATTCAACTACGTTGGACACAGCTGGCTTGAAATCTGCAGCTGGAGGCACATGGATTTGGTGAGCAAAGAACAAAGCAGTTAAGAAGGGTGCTGGCGCCACTGACCAGTGGAAGAGCAAAGGACTCTGAAAAGGGAGGAGGCGCCTCCAGGCAGTTGGAACAGGGCAGGCCAAGTCTCTGAGGTCGGAACAAGCTTGATGGGCCATCAGGACAGGCTAGCACCAGGTCCTGCTGTGGAGACAGCCCTCAAATCTTGGGGCTCCTTTCCCGCCCAGGGCCCTGCAGCTCAGAGCGGTCTGTCTGCGCTGGGGGGCCGGGCCACAGTCGCCAGCCCGAGGGCAGGGGGAGGGAGAAACCTCTCAC